CTAGATTAGTAATTGCCCTCGAAATCGTGCATTTAGATAGCTATTAGATGTGTCTATCAAACCTATGGATTGATTTTGTGTAAGGTCAATTTTACCTCTGTCACCTCCCTTTTTCACACTTTTTAGGAACTGGCAAGTTCTGGATGGGTGTCTAACCCACCTATTTTGCTTCCGCCAAGTTCAGCTGTCATCCAATGCCCAAGAAAAGAAATCAACATCATTATATGCAAACATCCAATGGTTCATTTGCATCTCATCCATTCATACCTGTTTCTGGAGATGCGAGAGTTGAAACTGAGCCTGAATCTGAGGCAGAGTTGTTCACTAGAAGCGTGGAAATCAAGAGTGAAAGTGAATGGGCAGACAAGGAGAGCAACTGGTCAGATGGTGGCAATGAGTTGCAAACCAGTGAACCAGTGGAAATGAGAATAAAGAAACAGATGTGACTTGCTGTTGCCCAAAGGGAGCAGTTGAGACTCGCTTCAGTCCAATTGATGGAATATAAACTTGATGGGCCTGCCCACTGCACTGATGGTCATAACCCTCAGTTAGGAACAAAGAAATCTAGCTAAGGCCAAGGAGGAAAAGAAGCAGTGAGATGAGAAATACTACCAGAAACATAACACTGATGCATGTGTATAGAATAGGTTCACTGTATTATGCAGAATTTTATCTACCATTTCTTTTGAAAAATCTGAGCCTTAGAAATGGAAGGGAAAACTTGGCCGATACCTCAATTTTCACGCTTTTGGGTGCCTAATTTCAAAAAAGTTCCTGCTGTAAATTTTGACTATAAAACACATATATGTTTCTTAATAAAATTTCAATTTGGAGCTCAGAAACTCAAAACTACGGCTTGTCATGTTTGTGTGTCTCCCACCATACTTAATAGTAGCTGAACACATATAATTGTAAACAGTCACTTTACAGGTGTGATATACTAACCAAGTAAAGACATAGTCTTTACACTGTCCTCATTCCTAGATGTATACACAGTGGTCCTGTCAACTTGTGACCACTCAGTGAGTCTGTTACAGGCTGATCCTAACAATAGGTTCCAAAGTGTGACCGAAGTAATGGCGAAGTCAAACTAAGGAAGGGGAAGCTAGAACTGAAGGACTTGGCTTCAACCTGCATGGGTTGTGCCTTCTTGAAATGTACATGTCCTTAATTTGGAACAGATTAGAACCAACAATATTAGAACAAAGTCAAATACCGAAGTTCTGAACAAAGTCCCGAATGAAGGTAGGACTTTGGAGTAAGATCAAAGGTTCAAGGTAGAGTTCAGAAATGATCCTGGAGGTTCATATTTGATTCAAAGGCTAATAGAGGTCTGAGGTGTATAGAGGAGAAAGAGCACTAGGCTTGAGTATGGGAATGATATACATTTAATTTCCGACTGTGTCAAGTATTGATCCGACCGGCTCATATTTCTATTATTCTATCATTCACATTCTATGCATTTGACTCATTCATTTTGTATTCGTTCATTCAGACCTTTTCCGTGCGGCCCCTTCACACTCACTTGACTTTTCATGTTGACTCAACCTTTGTTTTCTGACCGGATTTCTCTTATCTTTCTTATCTGTTTTATCTTTGCACCATGTGCTCAATTCTCGCTTGTGACTCAGTATCAAGTCCCGATCCCGATTTTGTTTTATTTCGATTTTATTTCATTTTCCTTCGGACTCCATTCCAGCTATATTTGTTATTCATCTTGATTTTCATTGGTCCTTGATTATTTGTATTATTCTCATTCGTTCGCTTATTATTCTCGGACTCCGTCACTCCTTACCATTCATTATCTTTCGGATTCCGTTTTTATTCTTATCTCGCTTATTTCTCATCGATGCCAAGCATCATTTATGATTTCACGTGTTTTATGTTTCCACATGACTTTTACGTTATATTCTCATCGGACTCCGCGTCATATTATTTCAGCCAACCACGCTCCTTATCATTCTTTCCTTATCTGTTTCATCTCCGTGACCCTGACTATTTCCCCATTTGTTATCGGCCTCCATTTAGTATAAATAGCCGTCTTTGTATTATGGTTCAGTAGTCAGAAATCCACTTCGTTATTCTGTTAACTCATCCCGGCCTCCGTCTGTCTGTCTACTTCTATTCTGTTCTACTATACTCGGTCTCCAAGTTTTCTCTTATACCGACTTGTCTGTGACAACCGTCGGACTCCGAAATCCAATTCCGAATATCATCCTGAAATAAGGACAACGCATACGGTTAAGGGCGCAACACATAAGTTGAAGCCAAGTCCTTTCAGTTCATATCATCCGGACTCCGAATTACTCACTCGTTCTATTATATCCGGAGTCTGAAGTGACATCTAGATATTAAGACGTAACACTCAGCTGATGTATTTGACCCTTCATCATTTATGTTATTTTCCCACCGGCTCCACACAGTGTATTATCACACCATCATACGCCAATTATGTTTTTATGATTCATCTTTGATTATGTTTTTATCCATTGTTTTTCCGCTCGGTTATTTATATTTAAATACACTCATTTGTATCTACTTTTACGCAGTCAGAAATCGAATCTCGTATTCTCTGTTAACTCTTCTCTTGTCTGTTTCTCTGCTCAGGTTTTCCTTCCCATTCAGCTCCATCCTTTCTATTACTCTTGAACTCTGAAGTAGGGACAACCTACGACTCTGCAGGGCGCAACACACAAGTTAAAGCCAAGTCCCTTCAGTACAAGTCATTGGTGTTTCTGACCGGAAGCGTTGACTTACTTCCACGCGGCTTACCAGGTGTATTCCGTATCAGGATGTAACAGACTGGAGAAACTAGCTAAGATACATGTACTTATATACTATAAGACCATGGATGAAAGAGGAAGTGAGTATTACAATTAACTAAATCAAGTGTGGAGCAGAGTATGACATAAAGTGATACAAACAATGGGTATATGTGTATCGTCAAATAGCGAAGGTTCGGGGGAAACATTAAACAGATAAAGTGAACAATTGAAAAGGTATTACGGATAAATATGTAATAAGAAAAATAAGCAAGTAGAAGATATGTCATGATAACAATAAGTGAATGGAAATAATACAAACAAATTGGAAATGAACATGACAAAGTGTCACCTGTTAAAATAGAAGTACCAAGGACCAATTGTGCCAGTGCTGAAGTAGACTAATAATAGTCTTCCAGAAATCGTGGAGTAGATAGTGTGATTTGAATGAAGTGGTTAGGTGAAGGCTACACCAAAGAGATCAAGAGTAAAGTCAAGGATGTGAATAAAAGGTGTGTTGTGCGAACACGAAGACAAAGAGGTAAGACGCAAAGTTGAATGAAGTTGAATGGAGTTCTCTGAAGGTATGTGACCTTCTCTGAAGCTTCATGGAGGTTAAGCGAAGTCACATGGTGTGACACTTAAGCACAGGGCTTAACAGAGTCCTATTGTTAAGCTTTGTGCAAAACTAAAGGTTAAGACACATTGGTGACATTGGAAGAGGTACTAATAGGACTTGGCTTCAGCTTGTGTGCTGCACCACTATTGCAAGTTGTGTCCTGATTTCTGTAAGGGCAACCCTCAAAGCCAAGCGGACGTCACGCAGAGCTAGCAGAGGGGAAATCCAAAGATACATAAGTGAACGAAATATATACAGGCAACGGGAATCTCACCTAGCAGAGGGGAAATCCAAAGAGAAAGACTTGGATTGCCTCTGCCAGAGTGAGCCCACTATATACCGTCCGGAAACGGAACGTAAACCCGAAAGGAAAACGAACAATGATCTGATGAACTCGGGAACAATAAGGAAAGGGGAACGAACCAATGAAAGGAAAACAAAGGAAACGGAAGTGAACGGAGAAACAACGGAACGATCCCGATCTCCGACCGGCGCTAACAACCCATTACTCATGCACTATGACTACATGCGCATATACCCTCCACCAGACGCCCACTGTCTCCAACCAAACCTCCCACTCTCCGGCCACAGGAGTCGTCAAATGTGCTGAGGGTGAATCCCGCGCGGAATCGCTTCCAGAGGGTGCTTGACGCGAGGGATAGTTCCGGGCGGAAAGGTTCCGGGCGGAAATCTGGAGGCGTCCCCTGACAATTTCAAGTCAGTCAGAGCTGATCAGGTTTGGACAGCAGAGAGAGGTCAAGAGTAAGTGGTTGGAGATGTCAGAGATGTCAAGACTATAACATGGTAAGATGATAAGTCAAACCAGAGGTTGGTCGGAGAGTGTCAGAGAGGACATCAGAGATGAGGTCAAAGACAGCAAGCAAGAATATAACAGAGGGTAAACTAAGTTGATTTCCAGATGGGCACTATCAAAGAATATACAAGGTTTTTATACTAAAATGTAATTCAAATGAAGATAGTGAAAGATAAGAAAACAGATTGGATGAATATTGGAGAGTGGAGTTGACAGAGACAGGTGGACAGATAACAGTGTAAATATACTTGTGAAACTCCAAGACAATAAGTATAACCAATAGAAGGGAAGGATCATAAACATGATAGTGCCATCAATATTAGTCTAAGGCACTTCACTTGGTATGTCAGGTCAGGAGACAAGGGTTAGATGGAAGAGGGTGAATGGGGAGATAAGGTTGGGACTCATCGGCAGCAACAAGTAGGAAGACTTGTGATGGAGGTGGTGCATGGATTGATGGTGTCAGGATGTGTCAGAAGGGTGGAGAAGCTGTCAGAGATCCATTGGAAGGTGACACCAAGGTAGGGTGTAACACCTATAGATGATGAGCTTTCATTTGCATGGTCCATGTTTACCCTGAGCCTTACTACAGGAGAACCTCCTACAGCTCTTGTTTTGATTTTTCAGAAATTATTGATTTTAAATGAATTTTTGCAATTTATTTTCTGATGCTGTCAATGCTAGGTTCTGTTCAGTGTGCATGACAGAATTTCTCGGGGCTTGGTGGAAGGTGTACCACTGGTTCCAGGGTTGTTTGGTGTTGGGAATTTAAAAATATTAGCTTCCTGCAGGAGTGCAAAAAAGCTACCACGTATGGGGATCGAACCCACAATCTTCTCCTTCGTCCACACTAGGAAAGAGACGCCTTACCATTAGGCCAACGCGGCCCCGAAGGCTCTATTAGATAATAGGCTACACGGGGCTACTCTGACTAATACTGAATCGAAACCGCTTTTTAACGTGTCAGAAATCTAACCACACCAGCCTTTGAGGTGTTGAACATCGTTTTCAGGATATATAATTAGGTTAAAGAGACGCCTTACCATTAGGCCAACGCGGCCTTGGTAAAGGATCTCATGTATAATATCCTATACGGGGCTACCCTGACTAATACTGAATCGAAACCGCTTTTTAACGCGTCAGAAATCTAACCACACCAGCCTTTGAGGTGTTGAACATCGTTTTCAGGATATTAATTAGGTTAAAGAGACGCCTTACCATTAGGCCAACGCGGCCTTGGTAAAGGATCTCATGTATAATATTCTATACGGGGCTACCCTGACTAATACTGAATCGAAACCGCTTTTAACGCGTCACAGATCTAATCACACCAGCCTTTGGGGTGTTAAAGATCACGTTCAGGATAGATATTAGGTTGATAGTAAGAAAAATGCAGAATAAATAAAGGAATTTGGAGATGAAGGTGGAGATGAATGGTAGAATTAAACGTGAACGTTACTAGCAAATATTATTGTATATTCCGTATTTTAATCGAAGAAAGAAAAAAAAGCAAAACATCCTTAATTGATATGCAGAATATTATCCACAGTCCAAGTGCTCGTTGACGAATGATACGGAAAAGCTTTCTCCTCTTTCCCCCATTGATACTTGATCTCCCCGTTAGCGTTTCTTCCCTTAGAAATTTTATACGCATAAGATTTTCTTCCCTGCCAGATTCTGAGGTTCTATATAGTCGTCAGATAGGCAAAGGCCAGAAGCAATATTATATAATGAGCGTCCATTATCGAATCTATCGCCTGTTGAGGGGCGTTCAATTTCGATTTTGGAAGGCCAATATAGGTGTGATTGAAGCGCAAAGTCTCTAGAGCTTTAATTCGGCAAGCCCCGTAATCATATCATCCCTTAATAAATGATAAATATATTTGGTCAAGCAGAACACTTTCTAAGACTTACCAATGAAATAGTCTATTTTTATCCAATGATTTGTAGAAAATAAAGATTCGGAAAGTTGTTCGTAACGAGTCGTAAGAGTTTGATATCAACTGATTGCATCATTCCCGATATGGCTATAGTCTCCAAAGATGCCCGGATGAAAGCAGAAATGGTGGAACAGAGGTCCTTGGAAGTAAGCTTACAGTCTCCGAGATTGATCGAAAGCTGCTTGAGAGCTACGTCAGAGTCTGGATTTTTCTCTCGCCAGCACTGAAGAATAATCGCGTTAGGAATAGTATGAGATGGTAGCGAATATGACGTGCAGTGTGATTTGCAGTGAATTCTTGAAGATCTTTATATGGCAGCTCGTCAAACTGTAGTTCTTCGAGAGTATTCCACGGCAAGTAAGTCGGGCTCTTGCGTAGCCAGTTCCGGCGTTTTATGTCCAAGTATCCTTTGGTAACGTCCAAGACCCCCGAAAGGGTCTATGATGGGGGAGGAACAGGGAAGGAACTGAATGTATGACTGGATCTCTTGTATTGTAATGTCTTGCATGGGGCGTAGCCCTAATAGACATAAATGGATTCAAAAAAAAGACAGAAAAAACGTTCAAGACCTTTAAATTGACAGCACACTGCAGGAGAGTCATCACTCCATACGACAACGGGGCTCGAGTATTCCAAATGTCGAGTTCCGCACATTCATAAGAGAAGTAGATCCACGGGCACGGGAGGCTGTCAACGGGGTGCTTGTCTGGTGGCAATTAGAGTGCGAATGAAGATTTTGTTCATTAATGCAGATTGAAAGGTCTGGTACCAATGATGCGTTCTCATCCCTTCTGCTTCCAGATCATCCTCATCCATTCAGTTATATACCTCTAAATCCCTTTCCTCTGTCCATTCGGAGAGCCTAATAAGCTCTAAATTGTCAGCCTTGTCGAGAAAGGCTTCAATCAATTTGAGCTCTCTACAGTCTTCTTCCGGAATTGTAGATGAAGCATAAGCGAAACAGAGGACCTGCACGTGCCCGATGTATCTGAGGTGATCTAAAAGATAAGCCAGGCGGTTTCCACCGCCTAATTGTTTCCAGTTCAACTCAGCAGGACCATAATTACTGTTGATATCCAGTTCCCGCCAGAATAAGGGAGATGATACCCGTGCCAACGTAAGGCAAGTCGATCGAACCAGAAGGAAAGACTTTGGCGGTCTAAAATCGTTCCGGTCAATGGATTGTGAAGCTCCAGAAGACTCGGTAGCACGCCCAACGTTCCATAATTCTTTCATGCATGCCAAAAGAATTTCGTCGGGAAGGACCAAAAGTACTGGCATGTTGTGAAATGTATACAGGAGATATCGGTAGACGTCGGGTTGACCTGTTGAGATACGGAAAGTCTCGCATATCTCATATACCACCGGTGTCTGCGTTTATGTCAGCATAGTGAAAACAAAGGAAACAAAAAACACAATACCACATTTCATAATTGACCGAACATACTCCGTCTTGCATTTAAGCGGTGATTGTTTTGCTTGATGTTTTGTTAATTATCTGTATGAGTGCTTGGGTAGAATCGACATCCTTTATCTCTCGTATACCCAGCGACGTTAAGTATTCCAAAGAGAGAAGCAGCTCTAAAGGCTGTGCCCAGGGACATATATCGTTCTTCGGTCTTTCTCGAATATATGCTGGTTCACTTTTGTGACTTTGTATAGGACTGAAACGCTGTTTGATCGTCAAGTGGTTGGAAGTCCGTGTGCAGCGACAACTTGCTAGCATTGTTTAGAAAAGACCATCTTAGCTAATAGAGAAGACTCACACGGTACCGTTTCGGTATAGGTATGTCGGGAGTTTGAGAGACGGAGAGATGGACGCAGCCAGTTAACCGCAAGTTGACCATCAAAATTACGACTTGTGTTGAGTGCCTATGGTTGCGGGGTAGAACTCTCTCTCAATTGGACAAGCAGAGACAAACAAATCAACGTTTATAATACTGGTGACCATATGAACAAAAAAAAGACAAAGAAATAGTGGAGGTGTTGGTCACGCAGTCTACTGTTGTCACGGTGCACCAACGATCAGTGATCACTCCTTACTAGGGTTCAAGATAAGGAACATTGTCTGCATTGAGGAGCGAGGAACTTACAATAGTCTATCAGGCTGATTGAAGCCGTAAAATTCACCTTTTCGGATTAGCATAGCGATCCTGCTACTGGGTACCGTCTTGAATAAAGCCTCAAACTGTGTTTCGAATTCCGTGCAAAACACAACAGGAACACCTGCGATCTCCTTCCCAAGATGGCCAAGTAATATAACACGCCACCAACGACATCGTTGCATCAAATCGATACTTGTCGAAGTCACTGGCAGTGATGTGCCGTCTCTGACACCTTTCCAACGGCGATCGCTTCGGATGGCTGGACGCTATACTCAACCTTGTCGTCTGCTATTATCGAAACAACTGCACTGCTGTTCACAATTAGACCAGTGACAGCGTCGCCGCTTGGGATCATGTTCAAGACGACAGCCTTCGTTATAGTATCTGCGGCGGTCTGCGGAGTCCGGCTCCTTTACCTGGAGAAATATTCTCCAGTGAGACATCATATCTACCGTCTATGGTCGTATATATATCAACACTGCCCATTAAAGAGACATTATTGATCAATTTCGTTATTGTATCAAGTATACTTACAGTTACTGTGTTAGACTTGGGTATCCGGAATCCTGCGAAGGACACTGGAATGGTTACACGAGTATCGTCCAAGGTAATTAAAAGCAGTTTCAGAGCAAGAATATGACAAGACGACAGGCTTGGAAGCACTGAGAAAGACTCAGACTCAGAGTCAAGCAGACTCAAAGTCAGGCTCAGAGAGTCGGTGTCGGAGAACAGCGACGCGAATAGTCACGTGAACTGACCAATATGGGAAGTTTACGTGATAGATTGAAGGAGTCTGGTCGGCTCCTTGACTTTCCACGGTACCATGTGCATCTGCAGAATACTATCTCAGGTTCCGATAGGCACGGCCCTGCGGCAAACTACTTACTTATAATGAACCTAAGACTCTCGCGTTTGTTCCCGTAATTCCTCACGGATTCATTCTTCCTTTTAACCATTATCGATATATCCTTCGAAGGTCCACTATGCGTCAAATCCTTGGTTGGATTATCTTAGCGATAGGCGTGCATTACGCGTCCAGTTCTCAGACACCATTCTACGGGTCGGGATACACAAATATCAAGACGAGTCTCTATGATGACGGTCTATTGAAGCCCATCGAGGATATTAGAATCCTTTCTTCAGACGAATATACGATTCTAGCACATCCTGCTTATCCGAATCACAGAGTTAGGGTCAAGCAAAATGGAGCCTCGTTTTGTGACGATTCCGTAAGGTCAATACTAGTTTTCGAATATTAGCATGTGGTATCTAATACTATGTGAGCAGATCATATACCGGTTATCTCGACATTGAAGCAAGGCATTTGGTAAGTATTACGTTGACATTTACAAGAGTCGGTGCGACTCGAAGCTGACGGAGAGGTCGACATCCAGTTTTTCTCTTTCTTCGAAAGCCGAAGTGATCCTAAGAATGACGATCTCGTCCTCTGGACAAATGGAGGTTTGGATATTCTTTAATAGCCAAAGGAATATTCTATAAATTTACAGGTCCTGGCTGTTCCTCTTCTATCGGACTGTACATGGAACTGGGTACGTGGAAGCAATCCACTCGAGTCTACTTCATGTTCCAACGATGAGATATATAGGTCCATGCCGAATCACAAGCGCAAATACCACGGAATACAACCCTTATTCTTGGATTTCTAACGCAAATGTCTTTTTCATCGATCAACCCGTTGGAGTTGGGTTCAGCTATGCTGATCATGGAGAATCTGTTGTTTGTCCGCACTCGTTTAAGACCAAGTTACCTTTTTAAATCCTGATTCCTCAGGGAACTTCAGAGGAGGCTGCGAAAGATATTTCAGCCTTCATGAGAATTTTC